TTTAAAAGATTATGCTTTTTTGCTCCAATTATGCCAAAAATTATGCTAGCACAATCCGCCAAGGCCTACTCTCGCGAATAATCCTTGCCTATTCTTTTTATTCGGGTTTTCCACAGGAAACGCCCGACTGAAATTCCGGGTTTGTTCTTTTTTTTTCGTTCAGTCGCAAATCACAGTCAAGTCCTTAAAGGCCGAGACACTATGCGAGAAATCGCTGCGACACATCGCGGCGACAAGTCGCTCCGTCGCTGCGAAAAGTCGCCTTGTCTGCACTGCTACTGCGACAAGACACTTGTTAGGAGCACGCAAGCGAATTTGGAAGAGGGGAAATGTGAACTTGTTTCCAAATTTAACATAGCGGACCAGCGAATACAGCGAAGGTAAAACAAAAAGAAGCTTTTAGTTCTGTTAATGATACTGTTAGATGACGAAGAATGTAAACACGTCGAAAGAAGATGCTGGACACGACAATGGGTGTCAAGAATAGAAGAAAGAGAGGCTTATTACGCTCAGGTTGTTTATCTTGTTTCACATGTTCGGTCGCCAGTTTGAATGGTTTTCTGAGGGATCATGGAAAAATAATTGACGCTCCCTCATTGGTTGATTTAAGTTTTGTCGCAGTGACTTGTCGCAGAAGCGTACACACGCTGCGACGAGGCTGCTTGCGCTTATTTTGTCGCTGCGATATGTCACACGAATTCAAACCAGTTTGAATTCGTGTGACACATCGCAGCGACAAAATTCTGTAGCAGCGACAATGATTTTCACATGTCACACGAGGCGATTTGTTGCAGCAGCCTGTCGCGCCGACTTGTCGCAGCGATTTGTCGCAGTGTGTCTCGGCCTTAACAAGCATGCGCTACGTTATGACTCTGATCTTCATTCATGAAACGGAGCATTCTCGTCCCCAGTGCTACTCGTCTTAAAATGTCGTTGACGAGTAGTTAACAGGGACCTAGCAAAAGGTTTATTTAACTGTTTAACTAGAAATATCAGAGAAAACGAGAAACAAAGTTGCATGCAAAACTTTGGATTTTCGTTTTTACTACGTCTTTTTCAACTCAAGGCAGCATAATCAAATTACTTCTTTCTTAGAGAGAGAAAGCTACAATAGAAAGTGCTTACTAGG